TATTAGGACATATATAAATAACAAAATAACTTTATAACTTAAAGCAAAATTGGGAAACGTAAAGTCCGAAACAAGTCTTTATGTTAAGGGCCATCAGTCAAACAATACTGTTTGGTCTGGGTCTAAACAGAGTCTTCTTTTGCGCATGCGGGCCGCTTTGAGGGTTCACACTAGAACGCGTTTGCTGTCACATTTTATTTGTAGTGTGAACAAGCAGACAAAAAAAATGGATTTGATCAAAAAATCTGAATTGAGCATTAAGACCTGCAGTGTGAAGGTAGCCTTAGTGTATTATGTTTGGTTCTACTTCCCATGTGTCATTAGTTAGATTTAGTTCAGCTGTGTACTCTCCTGTCTCTTATCATCATCATCAGCTTGTGTATTTAAGCCCTAAATTTTCCTAAGTTCCTTGTCTTGTCATCATCAGTCCCGGTTGTGTGTTGTCAGGTCAGTTCAGTTAAATTCTTCCAGCCAGTCATTCAGTCAGTCGTCTCATATTCTGTTTATCCTGTCTTCACAATAAGCACCGTCCACAGCCTTCATAAGCCTGCAAGTCCTGTTTTTGGGTCCTCTCTCCTCCCTCTCTCCACACACCGACGTGACATGTACTTAATCACTGTGTTCTGCTGAACCTCTAAAGCTCAGTGCTCATCATCGCAAAATGCATTTTATTTGTGTGACTTTACTTTTTGTCATTTTTCTTCATTATTAACACATCAGCAGATATAGTAAACTATAAAAAAGTATAGTGGAAAAAATTTCCAATCTTTATTTATTAATATTTATTGATATAACTTTCATGCAAATAAATGGTACTGATTTTAAATCCTAGCAAAGTTCACACTCTGTGTTGTAAGCATCCAAGTGCACCATAATTATAGAATGGTAAAATAATAATAAAACAATCACTACTGCTGATTATTATTTTGAGTTTGAATTTAAAAAATGTAAACTTGAAAGAAAAATATATACGACCTCTTTTGTTCTTAAAGATCTGATCTTTTTCAGACAGTGCATTTGTTAGGTACAGAGAGGGCAAGAATTGTCACAACAGCAGGGCCAGAGTGGATTCATTTATTGCATGGTAATGCCTTTAATGACTCATAGATGCCTTAAGTTAATCTTAATGTGTTATATTATTATTTATAATAGGATTATTTTAGTGTGTGTGCTGCGTGCCCTGCATACTGTGCTCTGTGTTATATTATTATTCATAATATACTATTTGTAATATTGTTATATATTTCCAAACCTTCATTGTTTGAGCTTCAAAAACAAATGAACTTGTTTTTTCTTCTTTTTAAATAAAAAGTTGAATAAAAAGTTGAATACTGTCACTTGAATACTGTCAGCAACATTCAAGTGCTGGACAGCATCGATAACATGGTCCCCCACACAGAGTCCTAGGCTATGTGTGTTATCTGCTTTGAGAGTGAAGGTAGTAAATCTCTTACACTGTGTTTGGGGAGATTTACTACTTTGACCTGAGGAATGTGAATGCTGTAAAATTATTTACCAGTGATTATTTCTTGCAGGCAGGTGATACCTGTCTACATGTGGCGGCCCGCTACAATCATCTGGCTGTGATTCGTATTTTGCTGGGAGCATATTGCTCTGTGTCAGAGAAGAATTTGGTGAGTTGTCGACTGACTGGGGCATTTTTCTGGTAAAAGCTACTTGATGAAAAATTAATTGGAAGTTTTTTCCTGTAATGTGAAAAAAATCATGTTTGAATTATAGAACTGTTTTTTTAGTAGCTCTTTCTATCCACTATAATCAAGTGCTTGTTTTTCTGATAGTTGGAGTTCTCTTTGTAATATCATAGGGTCTTTACCGTATAATAAAAAGTGCCTTGACTTTATAGTTGGTGCTGTATACATGCACTCAACAGAAAAAACAAGTTTATTCCTGTATTTGACATAAAGTGTGTTAATATTTTTATTCTAAGCCCCACTTATTGCAGACATGCTGTCTGATGTGGAAACCTCGGACGCAGGTTCTGGTTGCTTGAGGCCAACAAGTACTGATTTTTGGGGGTTGAATTCTGCTGATGCAGGACTTGCTGATTCAGGCTCAAATTCAGGTGCTGGTGGGGGCTGCCTGGCACCCTTGGGTTCTGGTGTGGGCTCAGATAAAGGGTGTCCTTCAGGCTCTAGCACCGCAAGCTGTGTGCCCTGTGCAACCCCAGCATCAGGAATACAGGCAAGAGGTCACAGCACTGCCATCTGGTCCTGCTTTGCCCGAGCCAAAGGTGCTCCACTGGCTGGTCCTGAACCCTAACTCGAACCCGCCGGTGCAGAGCATGATTTGCAATGTGAATGAAGCTCTTGCAGTGGTTCTATAAGGACCAAATGGCTCATAACATCAAGCTAGACACCCCATACACCCAAAGCACCTCCCATAGAATACTCCCAAAAAACACATGTAGACTGGTTGAGCAAACTCCCACCCACCCTGAAACATTCTTAAGAGGCTGGGTCCAGTGTTCCGCAGCCCAGACGAAAGCCGCATTGTTCCTCCTGTATCTGAGGTTCGACTAACAGATGGACTCTCCTTTCCACCACCCTGGCATAGATTTTCCCCAGGGACACCTGGCACACAGTGCCTTCTGTGGGTGCTGGGTCTACAGGAGGGTCATTCCATGTCCCTTCTTTGGGCTGCTCTCGGCCAGGCTCCATAGGCCAAAGCCTGGTCACCAGGTGCTTGCCCACGGGTACCCTTCCCAGGCGAGGCTACATGGCGGGGTCTCAGTAACACTATCCTGAGATAAGAGAAGATAAGATAAGATAAGAGAAGAGAAGGGGTTTAGCTGTTCCCTTGATCTTGTACTGGCAAGGTTTTCTGAATCGCCCTTTGTCTGGTTCCTCACCCTGGACCAATTTTTCATGGAAGACCCTACCAGTAGGCAACAAAGCCCCCCGACAATATAACCCCTCCTCCATGATAAGGCAGTGATTCATGGAAAGGGAGACACACAAGTTTTTCCACATGATTGCATATATCATATTAGTTGAACTTGTAAAAATATATAATGAAATTATAACTAGTAGAGAAACTAGTAGATTAAATGAACCATATAAGGTGGGGATTTGCATGTTAAGGATGAGATTATTTACATCATATAAGGTAAGATTAACATGGAGGAGTGAGGATATTATGTTGACTGAGTCATATTAAGATCAAAATTAATAAATGAAGAAGTTAACTGAAATAACTTTTTTTATTCAGGTATATAGCTCATAGTTAATAATCAGTATGCTTTTTATGTTCTCTTGTAAATAAAATACTGTTTTATGATTTGTTAATCATAACATTTTGTTGCTATTTACATTTTACACAGGATCCCAACTGTTTTGGAATTGGATTAGTAATTGCATTGTTTAATAGACCACAATAATAAAGAACTGGCATCTGTTTGAGATCTTCAAGTTAAGGTTAAACTTATATTAACATTACCTAACACACCTTTTTTATGTCAAACATTACCGTGCATTTATTTGAGAAGAATTGTTCTTTGATGATTTAGCCTATTTATCCCTTCCAAAGAGCACCTCAAAGAGACACAATTTAAATCCAGGAAGCACTCCTTTCTCCCTTGTTTTTAATATTGATGTTTTTAAAAACTATTTGTTTCATATTCATGTGCATGTCTGTGTGTGATGAATTTCCTCAGGCTGGAGACACTCCACTACATGTGGCAGCTACACTGAATCATAAGAAGGCGATACGCCTGCTGCTGGAGGCTGGAGCAGACAGTCGCATCAACAACAATGTGAGTGTCTCTGTAGACTCAGGAGAAGCATGTCTTTAATTTTAGCACATTGAAAAACCATAGTAGTTATAAGTGGCACTTTCTGTTGTCTAAAAGTTTCACGAGTTTTATAGAAATTTATAAAAAATGTCTTGACTTGAGGTTGGCCTATGATTTTCTATGAGTTCCTGCTTTAGTCCTCAAGGGACGACTCAGTTTTTCTAATTAGTGTATTTCTCCAACTATATCCAGCCACTAATATGTCCTTGTTGGATCACATTTTAGCCAGCTCCTCATTATTGTCTTTGTCTGTCACAAGCTAGAATCTCAGGGGACTCAACCTCAAGGTCAGAGGTCAAGTTTTCTGAAAATCTTGTGACTGCCATAAGTTAACAACAAGCCAGCGTAGAATTTTGAAATTGAAACCATAGGTATTCCTAACAGGAGGCTGAGGGTTAGCACTGGCGAGTGCCAGTATTTTTTTAAAGGCAGACATATTGATAATGATGTCAGATCCATATTAAATATGATAAATATGATAAATTCTAACAGGAATTATCATCTATGACTACATCATTTCTCCTTCCACTCACTTGTCAAAATAACTGAAAAAGGAGTTGTCTTAAGAAATTGTAGGGGGTTGACTTGGGATAGGGTCTCACAATGCATCCACTTCCTCCATCAGCTTGCTGCCAGTCGCTGCTTCTTGCTTTTAACTCAAAGCTGTGCTATTCACCATTTCTTTGTAGAAGCAGCAGGTAGCACCTTGAAAAGCATTTGAGCAATTGACCATCAGTAGCTGGAAATTCTCTAATCGCATTACAAATCATTATACCTTTTTTGGAGATGTCATTTCATATAATGAAATGTTAAATGGACTGATTCTTATATAGCGCTTTTCTACTCTCCTGGAGCACCCATTCATACAAGCACTTGTAGAAGTGCGTACTAACATTCACACATATTCATACTCCAATGGATCATCGGAGAGCAACTTAGGGTTGACCTGCTTTACCACCTGAGCTACAGCCACCCTGAAATGTGTGAAGGTTCAGATTGTACATTAAAATATCCCATCAATACTAACAGGTTCACAGTGATAGAAAATAAGTTAATAATTTGCTAACACGTATTGAGTTTATAAAAACAACAACAAGAAAATAATGTATTCATTCATTTTCACCTTTCACATAAAAACACATACACAAAGTAAAAATATCATAGGTTTTACCACAAGCCAGGGAAAACATCTGGTCTGCATGGAAGAAAGAGGAAACTGTGACCAGCTGAAGGTGGACTCATGTTTTGTCTGTCTTGACTTGTATCTCTGGGTGTCTGCAGGCAGGTCTAACAGCTTTGGACCAGGCCAGAGAACACAACAACCCAGAAGTAGCTCTTCTACTGACTAAAGCACCCCAGGTAAACTCTCACTGTGACCAGTACAGGCAGACATAATTTATAACTATAATAAATAGCTTGATTGTTTTCCACGTATATGAAAAGTAGGATGTGTGATTTTTCTTTCTCATGGGCTTTTCTAGGTTTTATTTGTCATGTTTAGTAACTATAGCTCATATTTTACCAAATTTCACTGCCCAACATTTTAATCTCTTATTTTTAGTTCATCAATTTAAGAAAAAAACAATAAATGTAAAAAACTAATAAATAAATAAAATACAAGAAAAAAGAATCAGATCACAAACTATATTTAACATACCAACAGCTAAAATTGATTTTTTTTTGAAAAGCCAGTAAAAACTGTACTCATCAATACTTATCAATACAATATATACAATATATAATTCACAAATCATACTTGATGAATTGTGTGTCTTCTTGTGTTCAGGTGCAAAGTTTTGTGCGTGGCAGGAAAGCAAGGAAGAGGAGAGATGAGCTGAAGGCAGAAGGTCGGGCCCAGTCAGTGCCTAGAAATGCGATGCTACCCTGTAAGGTGAATATACTTAA